AGAGAATCTAAAAAAAGTAAAATTGTAGTGAAAACTTGGAAATGTAAGTGATCATCTGTGGTTATACATGCAGTCATGAAGCAAAATTTTAATTGGGCTGTGTTCTGAGTTGGCTAGGTTGCTGGCTAGGCCCTAAATATGCAGGAGTTATTAGGCTAGGCTCTGTTTAGTGTTATTAGTAAACAGAAGTTATATAATCTATAGTTGTCGATTCTGGTTCAGACATTGTTTCAGTTGGGGAAATTAGTATTCAGTGGAAATTATATAAAATTATTACATGAAAAAGCTTATGATTTTAATTATTAATATTTATATAGTTTACCACTTATTTGTAGATATTTTTTGAAACTTCCCCTGGCCTGAAATTTCCCCAATTCAGTTCGAGTTTAACATTGGGTTTTTTATTGGCTTTTTAGCTTTTTGATTTTAAAATCTAAAGAAGTTAATGTGTTTGGGGTTACTAAAAAAATTTCTTTTTGTAGCCTTTTGCAAACAGATTTTTTTCTTTGTAGCTTCGAGCAATTTCAATGGTCAAAGCCAAATTGGCATTGCTAAAGTTAGTTTTTGTCTTGCTAAGGAAAAAAAAGAAGAAAAAAACTATTTTTTAGTTATACCACTCTAATGGCTCACATACTATTTTTATACAACCAATTCCCATATCAATTTTTGGCCATTGTTTTACTTCTCAAAAAGGTTTCTGTGATCGTAATTTAGTTTTGTTAATGCGGCAAAAATGCCTTTGCCGAACTTCAAGCCAAATTTGGCTTTGCCAATTTTTGGCAAGACATTTGGCTCACCATTGGAGGAGTATTTTTAAAATGTGAAGCCAAAAAATGGCTTTCACGAGCTTTATAACTTTGTCATTGGAGTTGCTATTATTTAGCCAAAAGTAGCATTTTTAGCTCATCCCAAACAGGGTGATTTTTTTCTCCACCAAGTAACAATGACTAGAAAAATGCAAACCGAGTTGTAGGACAAGGTATTTGTGTGCCTTTTGGAACTTTATTATTCCTCCTTGGAACAAATTATCACAAATACAACAATGTAATTGAGATACTGGATCAATTCTTTGCTCTATGCTTGAGTGTTAGCTTGATTTGCTTATTCAGATCAGTTGAGAATCCTGTCTTCACTTTTGGTGTTTTGGTGAATTTTTGTTGAGGTTTGCATTTCAGGTGGTTGCATAGAATGGGGATAAGGAAAGGCGTGGGGTTTGGGGCTTGAATTTTTGGACTGTATGTATGCGTAGCATTTTTTTTGTATTTTTTATCAGTTTTTTAAGTTACGGTAGTTGGTAGGTATGGTACTTGGGTGAAATGAGATTGGGACGGTGGGGTTTGGGAGCTTGAGTTTTTGGGCTATGCCTGTCTGTTTTGCTGGAAAAGAAGGCTACTTGGAGTATTTTTTGTGCATTTTTTTTTTCCATTGAATAGTATGAAATACCGCTTAAACAAGGACTCCCTCCAACTGATCAAAATATTTCAATTATTCATACTTTATAGAGGCTCGACTACAAGGACTTAAAAAAATTAAACCAAAGTTATAAATTAATATAAACCTCCCCTTAACTGCTTGAACTACAAAACCCCTATGGCTTTGTTTCTGTACTATAGGTTGGAGAAACTAGATAGAGTGAAATCCTTTAAATCTTGTCATAGCCTCGCGTGTGAGCTCACTTCACTTGATGTTAGAAGACTAACGCACACCAAATTACTAAAGAAGGACAAAATGGTAAATGCCAATGTTGTATACATGCATGTATACTTTGATTAATTCATGTCTACATGTGTTGATTGAAATGTAAATTTTTATAATTCTCGATTACCCAAAGGAAATGTGACAAGTTGTTGAAAGGTTAAGGTGTTTGGCTATTTGAAGTTATTGGCCACCTTTTTGGAATTTGGCTTCTTGTAGTTGCAATGCATTCAAATTACCTCAAACTCTTGCCAAATCTCAATGTATATATACATATGTATCTTCTAGCCTTTTTATTTATATATTTGTACGAAGTAGATCAACTTTCTCCAAAGATCAATACTAATTTTTATTTTGTGTGTGGCCTACAGATAACTATGTTGAAGAGAAAGGTCAATCGTCCTTGCACTAGGTCTGAAGTGTCGCGTCAACGTACAGTTCAGACAGCCAATGCCTCCCCTTCACAAACACCATCACAGGTCTCTCCACCACAAATGCTTTCGGCAAAACCACCATCACAGGTGCCTCTGTCACAACGTGACTCAGAAACAATGGCGGGTCAAGATGAATGCGTGTGTAATGATGGGAGTGAGGGAGTAGCTGGTGACGAAGGCTGTGAAGGAGGCTCTTGTGATGTAGTTGCTGATGATGGCTGTGAAAGAGGTGCCTGCCTGTGGTGATGGTTGTGACAGAGGCTGTAACGCCCTAAAAATAATAACATTAAACCCATTAAATAAGACATTCATTGACATATGAAATAACCACACTCTTCTATTCATCAGAGTTTCATTACAAAAGTATTACATGTTAACAACAAAAGCAAATGCCCTATGAGCTTATAACTTTCCAAGTTAACACTTGGTTACAACAAAAGAGCTCACACGCGAGGCTATGACAAGATTTAAAGGATTTCACTCTATCTAGTTTCTCCAACCTATAGTACAGAAACAAAGCCATAGGGGTTTTGTAGTTCAAGCAGTTAAGGGGAGGTTTATATTAATTTATAACTTTGGTTTAATTTTTTTAAGTCCTTGTAGTCGAGCCTCTATAAAGTATGAATAATTGAAATATTTTGATCAGTTGGAGGGAGTCCTTGTTTAAGCGGTATTTCATACTATTCAATGGAAAAAAAAAAAATGCACAAAAAATACTCCAAGTAGCCTTCGCCCCCCGCCGGACCTCTACACATGCCTTCCCTCCCTCTCTTTCTCTCTCTCTGCCAGAACCCTACAGAATCTCCACCACCCCCGCTGCCGCCGAACCATTCGTCTCCAGATTCGCTGCCGACGAACCCAGAAAGGGCTCCGACGTCCTCGTTGAAGCGCTCGAGCGCGAAGGCGTGACAGACGTCCAAACTCGAGCATGCCGACCATGTTCTCCGACTTCATCTATCTCAGCGCTCCAGATCTCTTTCGCATCTTTCCTCCTTCACCCTCCTCACTCTTCCATCACCGCATGAACTCCCACCGCATGACCTCCCACCTCGTGAAGCTCACGAAGTGTAGAAGACATTCTTCAGGTCCTCATAGTTTTTCGCTGTTGCGTCTCTGGAGTTGGATTTTGCACTTCTGTTTCCCGAACGGCATATTCTTCTTCGTGTTTTGCCCGTTCTTGTTGTCTTGGCAATATCAACTAAGAAAGATAGTGCATCACTATATAAGAGGGTGGAAATTCACAGACTGCTTTACATTGGCGACATGACCCACGTGGTCTAACTTTTTCTTTTTTTTTTCTTATTATTATTATTCTTATTATATCCAATAATCACTCCACTCACCTTTTTCACAAAACACCAAACCAAAACACAAAAAAAAAAAAAAAAAAAAAAAAAAAAAAAAAAAAAAAAAAAAAAAAAAAAAAAAAAAAAAAAAAAAAAAAAAAAAAAAAGCACGAACAGCTACACATGCACTCCACCCACTCCCTCTCTCTCTGGTCCCTTTCTCTCTCCCCCATACTCCCTTTAATCATCTCCATCTTTTTTTATAATATATTTCCCCTTCTCTTCTTCTTATTATTTTTTTTTTATATCACACCTCTCAACATGTTTTTTCATATCACCCATCCGGCGCACATGGGTCTGAGTCCAAAAAAAAAAAAAACAAACAAAAGCCGCAGAGGAAGATCTGCACACCAAACTCATTTTATTCATGTCGGGGCTCACCCCGATCACCATGTTTCCACATCCAAAAAAAAACAAAAAAAAAAAAAAAAAAAACAAAACAAAACAAAACAAAACAAAACAAAACAACATACACACCAACACCCACATTCACAGGTGGGATTTTTCTTGCCGGTGTTGCCTCCGTGTTTCCCACTCCACTGGGCATGATCACTACTCCCTGCTCCTCCACTGCAGCATATGGCGGCCCTCCAAATCGGAACATTACGGTGGCCTTCCGCTTCAGCTCCTTGTTTTCCGTCTTTAGCACGCTTATCTCTGCTCGCGCATCCTTATACATGCGTTGGAGCAGAGCCAGCTGGGAGTTTAATTGCTGCACCTCATTTGTCCTACTCTGCAGCCGGTGCGACAAGTTTGTGACCGCCGTCATGGACTCCACACATGCCTTCAAAGTATACTGATTAGCCTCCACATCCGTTTGCACTGCCATTTTTTGCTCCACCGACCGCATCGGAAAGTTCAATGGAGCAAACTCCGGGGCGCTTGGTTGAGGTTCCAGTGCCACCGCACCAGTTTTCTCTCTTGTTGACTCGTTGAGGTCTGGAAAGAGAGTAAGCAGACCACGGGACGACGAAGCCATCTCTCGCAACAGAGTGTTACAGACTATCTCTCTCAGCACAACGAAGCGTTTTTCAGAAGTTTTTCTTCGCAAGTTGTTTGTGTTCTGCCTCGGCCTCAGGCTCCGTCTTGGTTAAATAGCCGAGGCAGCCACGCACATTGCGCGCCTCTTGACGCCAGACAAACGGGCACGCCAGCCAAGGCACTCACGTGCCTCGCCATCATATCTGGCACGCCTTTTGATGCATCGGGCACGCCTTTTGATGGCACGCCTTTTGACAGATTGGGCACACCTTTTGAGGGCACGACTTTTGAGGTCTCGATATCTATATCCATGTATATCTTTTGGGCAGCCTATCTACACACTCATACAGTGTCTTCTACACCGGTCAGCTTTTACATTGGTCCGACATGACCCCGTAAACTGTCCCGACATTGATTCCGGTCAGCTTCTACAACGGTCCGACATGACCCCGTAAACTGTCTGACACGCCCATACCGTGTCTCCTACAACGGTCTGACACGACCATACCGTGTCTCCTATCCTGTTTTGTTTTTTATTTATCAGCTATGAGAAGCGCTGGACAACATGGCGACACAGTAGAGCTCGTAGCCAAACTTCTTCCAATACTTCAGGTAATATTACAAACAATGAAGTTTCAACTTTGTGCCTGTTAAACCCACTAAACCTAACCCACTACACCACTACCACCTCACCTACTCCACTAAACCTAACCCACTACACCACTACCACCTCCACTTCACCCCCTACCACCTACACCTACTCCTCACCTACTCTCCCAAAACCTCTCCTATATAATACATCCTTGTAATATACAAAATGTACAAATCAATCAATACAATCAATAATATACATCAATTTATTTAACAGTGCCTTTGAAAATTATGCTTCAAGCTACAATATTTTGTTACGTAAGTGATCCCATATTAATTTCTCAGGCAAACAATGTTGATCTTTACATTAATGGACACGACCATTGCTTGCAACACATCAGTAGTCCTGACAGGTAACATTTATACTAATCAAACTATTATAAGATATAGTTGAACTTTTGAAAACAAGAGAATTGGCTTGATTAAAAGTTACTAAATTGGTTCAAATTCATAATTTATTTTATACTATGATTGTTTGCAGTCCACTTCAATTTTTAACAAGTGGTGGTGGCTCGAAGGCATGGAGGGGTGATGTCAGTTGGTGGGATCCAAAGGAAATGAAGTTGTACTATGATGGACAAGGTTTTATGACACTCCAAATTACTCTAAATGAAATTGATGTTGTATTTTATGATATTATTGGCAATGTTTTACACAAATGGAGTGTAACCAAGCAGGTTTACGCTGCTGAATAGAGATGTTCACAGGAAAAGACATGCACTTGCAGATCTTATTTAATTATTAAGTTTGTTGTAAAACTTAAACTAGTCATGGAGGATATGTAAGTGAAACTTATTATTGTATAATGGCTTGCTTAATAGATCGGATTGTTGTATTGAAAGTAATTTTCTCATTGCTAATTGCTAATTGCTAATTGCTATAGATAAAATGCTGGCTAAAGCTCTATGTTTAATGGTGTACCTAAATGATGACTAAATTTTATCACCATACAAGTATGCCAACTATCCGTCAAAAAAGTATATGCCAAACTATGTTTGGACTTCATATATACCCTAATTTCTCCATTAAATGCTAAGAAAATTTATTTTCAACGAACTTGTGACGCCATGTTACCATTTAATAAGACATACGAGAGAACATGCTAATTAAGTCGTAGGAATATAGTAATGAAGACATGAAAGGGAGGATTGCATGAAATCAATAATTTGACTTTCATTTGTGAGTTATGACAAAAGATACAAAAACTTTAAACAAATATATATGGATTTTGGGAATTGTGATCATCTTCATTCTAAAGTTGTAATGGAAGATCTCAGTCTTATTAGTAGTATATGAGGATGGATATTGTCTAGATTGAGCAAAGTTTAAATTAGGTTTGCACTACTTAATGAGGAATTTTGTGCCTGTGCAAACCCAACCCATCCTAAACATTGGGCCTATATACCAAGCTTGTCGGTTGGGCATCTATATATATGTGGACTGTTTTATATAAAAAAAGTGATAAGTTCCATGTAACAAGTTTAAAACCCAACTAATCCCAAAACAAAATACTTACACCAATTAGTCCAACACATTTTTAATTGTTACCAAAAAATCTTCTTCTTTTTTTTTTAAATTTATAGACACTGTTCACATCTTACTACCGTCGGACTTCCGTTTAACGGTCGCCGGAGACTCACCGGAATGTCTAGAATATTGCCGGAAAAAAAAAATTAAAAGACATGTTATGAAACTGTAAAATTTTACAATTCTAAAGAATGTTATAAAACTGCAAAATTTTACAGTTTTAAACCATGATTCATTCCAGCACAAAAAAAAAAAATTTGAAACTGCAAAATTTTACAATTTTCACCGCCTGTAACTAAAACTCGAAAACAGCTTGTTCAGAATTCGAAAATTTTCTCCATTAGAACAGAAAAATAAAAGTGTATAGCAGAGAGAGAGAAAAAAAAAAGAGATCGAAGGGGAAAGACGGATGTCTAACCAAATCTGTGTAGATCTACTCAGATCTGATGTAGATCTGAGTAGATCTATATCAGATCTAAGTAGATCCATTCATCTTCTTCGTCGGAAAATATATCATCTTCTTCGTCGGAGTTGATTTCAATGCTTGGTGGTTATCAATGAACTCCGATCAATGGAGAAAGATATGATCACCGGTGGTCCTCTTCCATGACAAACACGGTGACAGAAAAATGTAGAAAAAAAAACGAGAGAGGAAGGGAAGCAAAAAGCAGAGAGAGAAAGGAAAGGACTTTTGGGTGTAATGAAAAAGTTATGGGATTAAATGGAGATCACATGTTTCCCATGGGACCTATGGGTAATTTCCCCATAAAAAAATGTCAGCAAACTAGTTTCTAAAAAAATAACATAAAAATCATATAATCTACAGATAACAACAAAAAATTTAGAAATGCCAAGAGAGAAAAACAGCAATTTGTAACGGAAAATGTCTCGTAGCTCAATTTTTGTGGCTCAAAAGTGGCTCAAATGGCCAAAACGACGTCGTTTTGGCCATTTTTATGTTGTTCTGTACTCAAAACGACGTCGTTTTGGCCATTTGAGCCACTTTTGAGCCACAAAATTTGAGCTACGTAGCATTGCCGATTTGTAACGACTTACAAGAATCAGGAAACAAACATAAACTTTCAGCCTTCAAAAATTTCAATTACTAGTTTAGTTGCCCATGGTGGGTTGGGTTGTTACCTGTTAGATTGGCAACACTTTATGTTTTTTGTTTTCATTTCCAATTTCTATTTTTTTATTTTTTATTTTTTATTTTTTTTTTTAAAGACAAAAACTTGTTTGTTGATTCCAAATTTTAAAAAAAAAAGAAAAAAGAAGAAAGTGTTTTTATTTGTTTCAAAAAAGAAATCTCAATCTTTCCTACTTCACCCATCACCTTCGCCCACCACCCCAAGGACCTCTGACATTGCCAATCAATTAACCATCAATGATCTCTAGGCAGCTTCAATGTCTGATCAGCCACCGTCTCTGATCTTTGGCAATCCTCTAGTCACTCTTTAACATCTTGCAACACTCTAATAACCAACTTCGGTGGCCACCTCACAGTCACCACCTCTGATAACTCATTAAACATGTTTTTATTTATAAAATAATTTTTACACTAAATTTTGTCCCTCTCCACCTCCTCACATTCCACCATCAATCACCACCACCTCTCCGCAACTCCCCACCGGTCGTTTCCTTCTCTCCACCCACCGCCACCACTAGTAAGTTCTCCAACCACGATTCTGTGCAGTAATGCTTATATTGTAAAACTTAGCTGGGTAATTCACAATCATTCTATTAACATAATTTGATGTTAAAATAGCATGGAAGAGAATCTAAAAAAAGTAAAATTGTAGTGAAAACTTGGAAATGTAAATGATCATCTGTGGTTATACATGCAGTCATGAAGCAAAATTTTAATTGGGCTGTGTTCTGAGTTGGCTAGGTTGCTGGCTAGGGCCTAAATATGCAGGAGTTATTAGGCTAGGCTCTGTTTAGTGTTATTAGTAAGCAGAAGTTATATAATCTATAGTTGTCTATTCTGGTTCAGACATTGTTTCAGTTGGGGAAATTAGTATTCAGTGGAAATTATATAAAATTATTACATGAAAAAGCTTATGATTTTAATTATTAATATTTATATAGTTTACCACTTATTTGTAGATATTTTTTGAAACTTCCCCTGGCCTGAAATTTCCCCAATTCAGTTCGAGTTTAACATTGGGTTTTTTATTGGCTTTTTAGCTTTTTGATTTTAAAATCTAAAGAAGTTAATGTGTTTGGGGTTACTAAAAAAATTTCTTTTTGTAGCCTTTTGCAAACAGATTTTTTTCTTTGTAGCTTCGAGCAATTTCAATGGTCAAAGCCAAATTGGCATTGCTAAAGTTAGTTTTTGTCTTGCTAAGGAAAAAAAAGAAGAAAAAAACTATTTTTTAGTTATACCACTCTAATGGCTCACATACTATTTTTATACAACCAATTCCCATATCAATTTTTGGCCATTGTTTTACTCCTCAAAAAGGTTTCTGTGATCGTAATTTAGTTTTTGTTAATGTGGCAAAAATGCCTTGGCCGAACTTCAAGCCAAATTTGGCTTTGCCAATTTTTGGCAAGACATTTGGCTCACCATTGGAGGAGTATTTTTAAAATGTGAAGCCAAAAAATGGCTTTCACGAGCTTTATAACTTTGTCATTGGAGTTGCTATTATTTAGCCAAAAGTAGCATTTTTAGCTCATCCCAAACAGGGTGATTTTTTTCTCCACCAAGTAACAATGACTAGAAAAATGCAAACCGAGTTGTAGGACAAGGTATTTGTGTGCCTTTTGGAACTTTATTATTCCTCCTTGGAACAAATTATCACAAATACAACAATGTAATTGAGATACTGGATCAATTCTTTGCTCTATGCTTGAGTGTTAGCTTGATTTGCTTATTCAGATCAGTTGAGAATCCTGTCTTCACTTTTGGTGTTTTGGTTGGCTGGAGAGGAAGCAGACTCAAGTTGGAACCTACCAAACTGAAGGCTGATGGATGTAATAGAAGTATTGCGAAGCCAGGTGATGATCTGATAGTTTTTACTATCCCAATCTTCTAGTCGGTCGATATATTTGGCAGCGGAGTCCGTGGCAGTGGATTCTGTGGTTGCTGGGACTGGTTTGCACACATCCCCAGTAATGATACGCCAAAGTTTCTTGCCTTTGAGGAAGCCAGACATGGCTTGTGCCCAAAGGACATAATTAGTCCCGTCAAGAATAACGGAAATAGGGTGATTAGAGGAATCCGGGCGATCCATGAGGGAAAAATAGCACAATGGAGGTAGAATCTGAAAAAACCGAGGTTACCAGTGAATTCAGAAGGCCGAAATTAGTGGGAAAAAGAGTAAAACGACCCAAAATATGACCACAGAGGCACAGAAATGAGAGGCAAAGGGCGCGGCGCACGTTAGCAAGAAAGGGCGCGGCGCACGTTAGCAAAACAGGCCAGGCAGTGCACGGTAGCAGAGAGGCTGACGTGTGCTGACGTCAGAAACACGCGGCGCACGTTAGCAAGGTAGTGCGCGGCGCAGGTTAGCAAAACAGGCCAGGCAGTGCACGGTAGCAGAGAGGCTGACGAGTGCTGACGTCAGAAACACGCGGCGCACGTTAGCAAGGTAGTGCGCGGTGCACGTTAGCACGGGACAGTGTGGAGGACGCGTGGAGCGTGTGTGAGGCGGAAGGCGGAGGCAGGCGACGCGCCGTTCACAGAAGTGGCGCGTGAGAGCGCGTGTAACGTCGGATTGGACTGAAATTGGTGGCGTTGGAATCGTCCGGATGAGACGAAGGCTCTGGTGTGGTGAAAACTGTATTTCAGAGATGGACGAAAAAAAAAAAGATACAGATGAAATGCAATCTGCAGAAAAATATGTTGGAAGAAGAGGCTAGGCAAAAAACCTGCGCTCTGATACCATATAAGAAATTGAGAGAGATTGAGAGAGCAAATATTAGCTCTGTGTTTTTGTATATATCATACAAGAGACTGAGCTCTCTCTATTTATAGAGAGGAGAAGGTGACCGAAAGTGTATATTACAATACATTAAACTATAGTTAAAGCTTTTTTGTGTGCTGGTGTGTGCTAGTGGGTGTGTGCTGGTGTGTGCTTTACAGTGTGATCCGAACATGTGATGCTAGTGGGTGTGTGCTGGTGTGTGCTTTACAGTGTGTATTGTATTGTATAACATGTGATGCTAGTATAACATGGGTAACAGTTACAATATACTGCATTATTTTTGTCTAACATTCTCATTTTTGTTATTTATTAGGTCCAACAACGTTTGACATAGATAGGACCAAGTGTGGTCGAGGTATGCTAAGGGAATAAAGGAGTAGGGCACTGGAGTCAGAGTGGATGCACAGTTTGATGCTACCTTTGAACCAGTAGGGGACAGAGCTGCCTCGCTTAAGGGACAATTGGGGCATATAGTACGCAGCGGGCATATAGAGTTCCCCTCAAATACATTAATTGGAACTCAGTACCCAAAGATGTCATAGAGTCCATTTGGAAAGAGGTTAAGGTATAAATCAAATTTTCAAACATTCTGGTATCCTTATTCTGATATTTGCTAATTTGGTACTTTGTAGGATAACTTGATATTTGCTCCAGAGGGTTTTAAGCTAGTTTGCTTGGATTTGTGTAATAAGATGCGGAAGGATCACAAGAACAAGACAAAAAGCAAGTTCTATGTGCCCTTTAGGACATCTCTAGATATTAGTTTCAAAGTGCCTGTGAATATAATACCGGAGCAGTGGAGAGAGCTCGTGGAGTATTGGGGGAGCAAGGAAGCAGAGGTATAACTAATATTTCAAAATTATGATATGTGGGTTAGTTGCATTAAATAGTAATGTTTAACTGATAGTATAGGAGATAGCAACCCGAAATTCAAAAAATCGAAAGCTTCGTGGCATAACTCATAAGACGGGGCGAAAGCACTTCTCCCAAATACACTATGAGGTATTGACTTACATACAAAATTATGACTTTATATATAAAGACACGTGAATTCTAACTTATATATTTGTTTTTGAATTATTTCAGATGAAAAAAATGGTGAGAGAACCGATAAGAAGCGTCTCTTCATTAAGACACAGAAAAGATGATCCAGAAATGGCTTTGCTCGTGGTGTATATATTTTTTATCTGGTTGGTTATTTTTTTTTAATAAAAAATTTATCTCGTTGCTCATTGCATGCTTATGTTTGTTAAATGTAGACACAATTCAATGAGCACCTCTCTAAGGTGCCTGAGCACTTGCGGACAACAGATACGCTAGATCAGATTTTCTGTGAGATGGTAGGAAAGGATGGAAAAAGTTATTGTCAGACCTATAGTTCTGCAGTGAGTGCATTGGATAAACAGGACACAAACCCATCCTATGCATTCAATCTTTCAACAATCATAGAGATCGCTCAACAAGTCAAGGAGGAGGTGAAAGAGAAATTTAGACTAGAAATCGAGCAATTGAAGGCGCGAATTACTTTTTTGGAGTCCCATTGTTGGAATGTAGATGTGGAGTACAAAAAATAGTATACATAGATATTTTAACAGCTTTAAATTATATAGATGCAAATGTTAACATGTGATATAAAATTTTGTAGGTTTCGGATGCATCTAGTGAGCACCTATTTGTGGAGTCCGTAGGAGATGACATTTCACAGTCACAAGAAGATTCTCATGCGCCATCACCATCTTCATGATCTTCTAAATAGGTAAACATACATACGTTAAAATGCAAAACATAGTTAAGGGTTGTCCGACTGAAAACCCTTTGTGGCATTAGGAGGTTGAGAGTAACCCTACTAAAGGCCCAGATTTGTTGTTGTGTTCGTTTTATGGCCTATTGAAAACCCGAATTTGTAAGCTTTAGATAATTTTGTAATTTTTAATTGTCTGTTGAAAATTTGCAATTAATTGGTTTTAGAATTTAGATTTCTAAACAGGGGTCTCACTACAAAAAAATTGTCTTTTTGCGACGGTAAAATACCGTCGCTAATACTCCTAATGCCGTCGCTAATACTTTTTGCGATGGAAAAATGACTTTTTGCGACAGCAAAAGGGGGTCGCAACTGCAAGGGTTGCAAAAAAGTTTTTGCGACGGTAAGTGCCGTCGCTAATGTTTTGCGACGGCATTTTTTACCTCTTTGCGACGGCACCGTGCAGTCGCTAATAATTTGAAATTTCTTGACTTTTTTGCGACGGCCCTATTTTACCGTCGCTAAAAATGTTATTTGAGACGGCAAAAAATACCATCGTTAATAGTCTTTTTTTTTAAAAAAAAAACACTATTTTTTGCGACGGTGTGGTGCCGTCGCAGAAAGTATAAAATATGAAATTTTCTATTTTTTGCGACAGTGTAATGCCGTCGCAAAAAATATTAAAAAATAATAAAATTTCTATTTTTTGTGACAGTATAATGTCGTCGCAAAAAGTAAAACCTATAACAAAATTAATAAAAATATTAAAATTTTCTATTTTTTCCGACGATGGTGCCGTCTCTCACTCTCTAAGAGCTGATTATTTACATTCCATTCACAAAAACATCATAACAGAAAATAAAAATAAAAATTGATCAAACCATCAAATTCAATATTTTACAAAGAATAATTAAACTGTACATGTTCATAAAAGCATATTTAAATTATAAAATTCACCCAAATCCTAAAAAAAAAAAATAATAATAAAATAAAATCTAAAATTCACCATTATTTTCCATTATTTAAAAAGGCCTACAATGAGAACTTTCGCTTTTGGAGATTATAGGGCAGCCCAAATCCAAGCATTCAAAACAAACAATAAGTCTTTCGAAAGGGAAAAATATAAACATGTAGAGGATATTGCATTAGACAAATTGATTTCAACTGCTCCAGTGACGTCTTCCAAGTAGAAATGGCCATCCTCTAACTGAGATATAACGCCCATGACCCATCCTCTAAAGAAGGAAGACAAGAACCTTTTAGATGAACAGCCAATAGAAACAACAGCAGTGCTTTTCCCGGAAAAACCAACATCAAGTCCGTTGAAAAATGCATAAGCACCAATCAGTTCCATAGAAATGGTTTCAGTGTGGACACAATTATGGCTCTACTGTTAACTACCAGGTACATAAAACTTGAAAAAAGGGCAAGGGCTCAGTATGCCTTGCCTTTGGGTTCCAATATTTAACAATATCTCATTCCTACAGTCATGTTTTACGCACTCAAGCGCCATGCAGCTTATTTCACAAATTTCCACTGGGTTACGTAATTAATGTCGATGCTAGTTTATGTAAAGGGTAATTAAAGAATTGACCTCTAAGAGTAACTGAAATGGTGGCTAATAAAAATTGATAGCAAAGACATGAGTTATATAAGAAAATTTTGATAGGGAATATATGAAATGATAGAACCACAGTTATCCCTGCAAGACTACCTAGAACCAACACAAAATAAAAGCTTACGCACTTTGGTTGTGCAGTTGTTCCAACAATTAAATCAGTTTGAGCCCCTCCATTACGTGCATCCTTGGAATTTTCGAGACCTGCAGACAAAAGCCAAATCCAAGTCAAAAAATAAGAAACTTAAGAGCGCAACTTTTTTGGTAGGATGTAGTGTGAATATGTAATATTGATATTGATGTCATCCAATTAAGACAATTTGTTACAAGATTTTCATAATCTAGTTCAAGGCATTAGGCAGAGAAGAAATCATGCATTATAGAATAACCAATGAGCAATGAAATGTGTAATAACCCTTCTTTCCCCAACATCCAACATCCAACATCTATAAAGGACTAAGAAATTTGATTGGTGGATTTGTTTAACTGTTATCTGAACTACTTCAGCAGAGGTACCTAGCCAAGTGGTTCATTACTTAAAAATAGTTAGATTCCTATCAGTTCCACCTTACATGTTTTTTAAACTACAATAGGGAAATGTGTTTTAAATAACACACTCATCGCACCTCAATGACTAGTTGATCTGAGAATTTACAAAAACAACTCTCTCCCTTTTAAGTGTTTGCAATCCATGATTTGTTGTTCCTTAATAAACATAATCAGCTAAGCAAAATAGATACTTCCAATTGACATCATTGCATAGAAACTCTGTCTGAACAACTAACCCATAAATAAACCACCAATCTATAGATCAATTTGGCTCCTTGATCTTACCAGAATCTAGCATGCATTGTGACCAACCCAAAAACCAACAACATCTGGGTATATGATAATGAAATCCAATGTGACTCCGACACAAAGTGTCAGTCATTTAGATCTAGAAGTTTGCATGACTTAGATTTAATTTAAATTGAGTTTGTTTAATAACTCATGTTTAACTGTTTAGTCCTTTTTAATTAGGTGATTGGTAGTAACCACCTTGGGAGTTGTTATTATTTATTAGGTAGAATTATAATAAATATTTGATAGTTGATTTATGGTGTGTACCATATGGTGAAAAATTATATATTTTTATAGTGAATAAATAGATATATATTTCATGGTGAGCAAAATATTATATTTTATGGTGAGAAAAATTATATTATTTTATAATTTATATTATAAAATTTAGAAGTATTATTACAAAAGTTATATTATATTTTTTTTGAAAAACTCATTCTTAGAAAAGCAAACCGACGTGGGGTTGCTTCCCATTTTTTGCCTTGCCCATCATTTTCCTTTCCCATTCATTTCTTTTTGGGTTTGGAGCACAGAGCTCGTGCTCTCTCTCTCTCTCTCTCTTTCCTTGTTTATCATTGTTGTTCAATCTTTGAGCTTGAAATGGGAGTTTTTAGAGTGAGATTTTACAAAAGTGTTGTAAATGAAAATCGGAGAGCTCATCGTCATCTTCGCAATGGTGGTTTCGGATCCATGATTGGGCGATATTTGCTTTTTCGAATTTGTTTTTCTTCATATTTGAGGTAAGGATTTTCTTCATATTATTACATTAAAACTATGTTAGGGTTATTTTGAGAAAATATGTCATTATAAAAAGTATTGCATATATATTTTATTTTTTTTCAGATTTCTGTTTGGTAATTTTTTGGAAGAAAAATTATATTGAAGTGTTTAAGGACATTGATGTTTGAAACTTGATTTGAGAAAATCATCTTGTGTTGATAATTTTGTTAAAAATTCGAAAATAAAATTTATAGTTATATGGGTTGTATCTATCTCATATTATGGTTAGATAATTTATTTTGAGAAAAATAATGTTGAAATATTTATCTCATCCTTGAGTTGTGGAATTTATTTTTGAGAAAAATAAATTGGCATTGAGGAATATCGTGTAAATTGTTGAGTTGGGATTATAGAGTTGTTTGGGGATTAAAAACTCTAAAAGTGTTATGGTCATGATATTTTATACAAGATAATATGTTGATGGTTAGGTTGTGTTCATTTTTGTAAAAATGAAAATGTGAAATGTAAATTTTTGAACTCACAACCTTGAAAATGTTACTCTTTGACATATTTTATAATTTTTGAGGTAAATATCATGTTGATTAGATAATTTTAAAAAAAGTTGTGAAATTGTTATTTGCAGAGATTTAGGAAAAATTGGCTAGACATGAAATGTAGGTGTATCTGAAAGATGAGACATGTGAGGTTAAGTTAGGCGTTATTAATTTGGAAGATGGTGAAAATAATGAACTTACTAATTTGATGAATTAAATTTGTTTGGTTAATATTTTAAATCCTACGTAATTAAAGCGGTGTTATTGGGTTTAATTCCTAACTTTAATATTATAAGGTTAAAAGTGACGAAGTTTTGAAAACAAGAGAATTGGCTTGATTAAAAGTTACTAAATTAGCTCAAATTCATAATCTTATACTATGATTGTTTGCAGTCCACTTCAATTTTTAACAAGTGGTGGTGGCTCGAAGGCATGGAGGGGTGATGTCAGTTGGTGGGATCCGAAGGAAATGAAGTTGTACTATGATGGACAAGGCTTTATGACTCTCCAAATTACTCTAAACGAAATTCATGTTGTATTTTATGATATTATTGGCAATGTTTTACACAAATGGAGTGTAACCAAGCAGGTTTACGCTGCTGAATAGAGAGGTTCACAGGAAAGGACATGCACTTGCAGATCTTATTTAATTATTATGTTTGTTGTAAAACTTAAATTAGTCATGGGGGATATGTAAGTGAAACTTATTATTGTATAATGGTTTGCTTAATAGATTGGATTTTTGTATAGAAAGTAATTTTCTAATTGCTAATTGCTAATTGCTAGAGATAAAATGCTGGCTAAAGCTCTATGTTTAATGGTGTACCTAAATGATGACTAAATTTTAGCACCATACAAGTATGCCAACTATCCATCAAAAAAGTATATGCCAAACTATGTTTGGACTTCATATATACCCTAATTTCTGCATTAAATGCTAAGAAAATTTATTTTCAACAAACTTGTGACAAATGTTTAACATTTAATTTGACATAGGAGAGAACATGCTAATTAAGTCGTAGGAATATAATCTGAGGGCTGCTAGTTGATTTGGTTCCTGGAGTGTTACATCTGGTGAGTATGGTCTGCTATAATCTGAGGGCTGCTAGCGCATTTAGGTGACCTGGGCGGATCTATTACTATGGTGGAATCTTTATTGGGTAACACCTGCTTCAGTTGTGGCTTTGTTACTCTGGTGGATGGGTTTGATTAGCATAAGGTTCTTCTGTACCTATGTTACTAACTCTGCTGTCTCTGTATTTTGTGCTGCTAGCTCTGTGTATCTGTGTTGCTGTTTTGCTAGCTTTGTTGTTGTATTTCTGTGTATCTGTTGGTCTCTCACTAACAGGTACTTAGTTTGGTGC